CGAATAAATTCTAATTCGAATGAATTCAAATAAATTTAGACTCGAATAGATTTTAATTCAATAAAGTTTTATTTAATTCAAATCAATTTGAAGTCAAATAAATTCTAATTCGAATATATTTTAATTTGAATAAATTCTAATTCGAATACATTTTATTTCGAATAAATTCTAATTCGAATGAATTCAAATAAATTTAGACTCGAATAGATTTTAATTCAATAAAGTTTTATTTAATTCAAATCAATTTGAAGTTAAATAAATTCTAAATCGAATATATTTTAATTTGAATAAATTCTAATTCGAATACATTTCATTTCGAATAAATTCTAATTCGAATGAATTCAAATAAATTTAGACTCGAATAGATTTTAATTCAATAAAGTTTTATTTAATTCAAATCAATTTGAAGTTAAATAAATTCTAAATCGAATATATTTTAATTTGAATAAATTCTAATTCGACTAAATTCTAATTTAAATACATTTTAATTTGAATAAATTCTAATTCAAAAAATTTTTATTTAATTCAAATCAATTTGAAGTCAAATAAATTTTATTTTGAATAAATTCTAATTCGAATACATTCTAATTCGAATACATTCTAATTCGAATACATTTTAATTTGAATAAATTCTAATTCGAATACATTCTAATTCAAATACATTTTAATTTGAATAAATTCTAATTCAAATACATTCTAATTCGCATATATTTTATTTCGAGTAAATTCTAATTCGAATGAATTCAAATAAATTTTGACTCAAATAGATATTAATTCAAAAAAGTTTTATTTAATTCAACTCAATTTGAAGTTAAATAAATTCTAATTCGAATGAATTCAAATAAATTTTGACTCAAATAGATATTAATTCAAAAAAGTTTTATTTAATTCAACTCAATTTGAAGTTAAATAAATTCTAATTCGAATATATTTGAAGTCAAATAAATTCTAATTTGAATATATTTTAATTTGAATAAATTCTAATTCGAATACATTTCATTTCGAGTATAAATTCTAATTCGAATGAATTCAAATAAATTTGGACTCGAATAGATTTTAATTCAAAAAAGTTTTACTAAATTCTAATTTAGATACATTTTAATTTAAATAAATTCTAATTCAAAAAATTTTTATTTAATTCAAATCAATTTCAAGTCAAATAAATTTTATTTTGAATAAATTCTAATTCGAATACATTTTAATTTGAATAAATTCTAATTCGAATACATTCAAATTCGAATACATTTTAATTCAAATAAACTTTACTTCAAATATAGTTTTCAATTCAGATAAATTCTAATTCAAATGGATTTTAATTCTAGTAAATTTTAATGCAAATAAATTTTAATTAAAACAAAATTTTAATTCAAATAATTTTCTTTTCATCCAACCAAGTTTTACAATTTTACTTGATTAGAATCAATTTTATAAAATTCAAATAAATTTTATTCAAATAAAAAAAATTATTTCTCTGAATCTAGCAAATAAATTTGGTTGATTTAATAAAAATTTGATTGTTTAAAAAAAAATCTAGTTGATTCATCCAAATTTGCCTGTTTTAAAAGAAATCCCGGTTTTTTTAAATAAAATTTGTCTCTACCGCGAATTGGAGAGTGTTTTCGCGAAAGTTTAATCAACACTTAGAAACTTCTCTTGTAAACAAGATTCGGATAAATCTCCCAAACCATTCATGAAAGAAACCCCCTTAGGATACTAATCCTTTTAAATTGATCATAATCCTTTAAGAGCAGACATGCACCCTTTAAAGTAAATCTACAGTGAAGTGTAAAAAATTAAAGTCCCCTTATTAGAAATCAAAACTAAATTTAGCAAAAAAAAAATTAATTAACCTATTTAGTAAATTTTTCAGCTTAATTAATTTAGCAAACTGAATTAACAAACCTATTTTGAATTTTTTAGCTTCATTTAGTAAATCATAATTTTAATAATTAAAAAATTTTCTAAAAATCTTTATCCTGGGGGTGGAAAGCTAGCGAGCGAGTGAGCGAGAGAGAAAGAGAGAGAGACACTATCAGAATTCACCTGCAAGATGATCAGCGATCTCATACAGAATGAAGGTTCGAATGAGTCAGTGGTCGTGTTTGCGGATTCATGGACTCGTGTGGGAGGGTAGTAGTAGGGATTGAAAGGCGCATATATATGTATATATAAAGTGATTCTGGTGGGGCTCTTGTGTGTTGGCTCATGCGGGGAGTTATGAATGAGTCTCCGTCGTTCTCTTCGCAGTAGGTGGGAGTCGTCACAAGTGAGGAGTTAGAGTGGGGGCACAAATAGGGAAGAGGTGAGAGAGCAACCAAGCATCAGAGGGCGGACAATGGTGGGGGGAATCTACCCCCTCCCCTTCTTCTCACCGACAGATTGAGAGGATATCCAAGAAGAAAAGCGGAGTGAGGGCCACGTGCTTCTCCATGCCTTTTACAATTCCAACACAGACACCGCGCTTTACAACAGAGCTAGTATCATACTTACAGTTGTTCATTCCGGCTGCATCATGCAACCACAGGCGAACGGGACGGTTGGACTTTTGCGCACACTTGCCCCGCTCGATTTCAACCCCTAAAAAAAGTTTGTTGGATTCGTTTTTTTTAAAGTTTGTTCGCTTATTCTTTTTTTTGATCAAAGTTCCTAAGGGTTTGTTTCAGACATGAAGTTGTTTTTCTAAATTTTACCCCTAGGCTACCGTTTACCTCAGAAATTAGTATTATACTTCATTTTGGCCCAAAACTGTTTTCTATGTTCCATTTTACCCCAGAATTTTTTTTATTGGTACTAAAATATTGCGAGAAAGGTTCGACCCAGCAATAGGTTTGCTATCTTCCTTCTATGCTGCATTTTACCCCAAATAAGTTTGCTGGCGAGTTGTAAAAATTGCTGCAAGCGAACAAGAGATTTGCAATCCTGCTGTTTGAGGATAATTTAAAGACGGTTTTGAAGATCTTTCGAGACTTTTGAAGAGCATAAAACGGAAGAAGAAGAAACAAATCAAGCATCATCAAAAGAACCAAAGTTGGCGAAAAAAACAGCAAACTTTTTGAAAAACTTTCGAGAACTTTTTGGGGACTGTTTAAAGACATTTTTGAAGAGCTTTCAAAGACTCTTTAGAAACTTTTCAAAGATCATTAAGAAAACGAAGAAGCAGAGTTAAAAATAATCAAAAGGAGCAAAGTTAGTCAAAGAAGGACAAGATCTTTTAAGACTTTTTCGAAAAGCATCAGAAAGAAGAAGAAGAAGCAAATCAAAAATCATCAAAAGAATCAAAGTTGGACAAAAAATTAGAAGAGTTTTTGAGAACTATTCGAAGACTCTTGGAACATATCATTAAAACCTTTTTCGAAGACTATAAAACGGAAGAAGAAGAAGAAGAAGCAAATCAAAAATTAACAAAAGAACCAAAGTTATCCAAAATAAGATCCAAAATTAGAAGACTTTTTGAGGATTAGTTGAAAACTTTTCGAACATCATTAAGAAACAGAAGAAGCAAAGCAAAAATCATCAAAAACAGCAAAGTTAGTCAAAAAACAAAAAGATCTTTGAAGAAGTTTCAAAGACCATCAAAAAGAAGAAGAAGAAACTAATCAAAAATCATCAAAGGAACCAAAGTTGGCAAAAAAATTAAAAGACGTTTTGAAGAACTTTCGAAGATTTTTTGAGGACTGATTGAAAACTTTTGGAACACATCTTTCAAAACTTTTTCGGATACCATAAAGCGGAAGAGTAAACAAGTAATAAATCATCAAAAGAACCAAACTTTGCCAAAAAATTAAAAGACTTTTGGAGGACTATTTGAAGAGTTTTAGAACATCATTAAGAAACAGAAGAAGCAAAGCAGAAATCATCAAAAGAACCAAACTTGGCCAAAAAATTAAAAGACTTTTGGAGGACTATTTGAAGACTTTTCGAACATCATTAAGAAACAGAAGAAGCAAAGCAAAAATCATCAAAGGAACCAAAGTTGACAAAAAAATTAGAAGACGTTTTGTGGACTATTTGAAGACTTTTCGCACATCATGAAGAAACAGAAGAAACAAATCAAAAATCATCAATAGATCCAAAGTTGGCCAAAAAATTAAAAGACGTTTTGAAGAACTTTCGAAGCTTTTTTGAGGACTGTTTGCAGACTTTTGGAACATCATTAAGAGACAGAAGAAGCAAAGCAAAAACCACCGAAAGAAGCAAAGTTGGTCAAAGAAGGAAAAGACTTTTTGAAGATCCTTCGAAAACTGTTTGAAGACTATTTGCAGACTTTCTTGAACAGCATCAAGAAGCAAAAAGGAAAAAATCATCAAAACCATCAGATTTGACGAAAAAAAGCATACACACCCCAAAAAGAAGGGTGAAGGAAGAAAAGGAGCCTAATGAAGGATGCCACTTAGGGACAGAGGGCACCTCTTCTCAAATAATGTAAGAGATGAAAGGAGTAAGGGAGAGAGTGACCGAGGCATATCGACATTGGTATAGTCCATCTTCCACCTCCACCGATACCTTTCGCAGGTTCACTCCTACTAACGAACGAACGAACAGTCTGAATGCCTTGTTCACCTGACTGGCTTCCTCCTGACCATAGTGCATATACCTACCTACCCATCTATCGTATATACGTTCTGTCTACAACTCGAACACACGTATACTCTCGCACAAAAGAGAGAGAGAGAGAGAGAAGAAGCGAGGTGATACTTACCACTTGGATCTCCACAAGACACGAGACTCAGTCACCTCTTGACACTCGGCCCGACACGTTCTGCCTCTCTCTCTGTGTGTCTTTCAATCATTTTTCCGATTCGCACAACATCCACAACCCCCAATTACCACCAAACCCTAATTACCCCCTTATTAGAATTTTTAATCCCTTTTGCACTCTCGTTTCCTCCACTTTTTCGTCACCTTCCCCCTTGTGTGACAACCCTCTTTTCCCTCACACCCCCCCTCTCCCTCTTGCCCCACCCCCCCTCGTATAAGAATCAGTGCATCGCGTGTGCCGGGACCAGTGCCAAACGGATAGTGATTCTGTTAACAAGTTTTTAATCTCCTATTTTTTAATGTCGATCAGAAGATGAAAAATTTCACTTTACACAACAACAACAGTAGTAGATGGTAAAATTTTTTTTTGAAATGGCACGATCGTGTATTGTGCGGGATCATCATCGATGTGTCGAGGCGCGAAAGGATAACAATAATTCATCAATGAATGTACTTGAGAATAGAGAGCCAACAGTGATAAAGTGTGATGATGCGATTATTATTGAGAGACTCGTTTGTAATTATGAAACGATGATGACAACAACGACGACAACAACAATGGAGGATATAATGAATCGTGATCAAAGGACTACTATGCACAGGGTCTATGATCGTTGTCCTACAACTGTTGATACAGATAAAGTGTTAGAATTAACGGTTGGAGTGCAGGGTGGTAAAACAACGACAATGGCAACAAGATGCAGGCCCGATATTACTAGAGTCAATTTTCATCAAGTGCCAAATAATAAAAATTTTCATAATAATCATAATACAAGAACTTGGAATAATGACTTGAGAAGGTATTCGAAAATTTCAAATAGTTGTGATGATTCGTTTCTCGTGACACGTTCTAGATACAATCGTAGGATAACATCGACAAGATTCAATAGCACTGTTTTTCCATTGCTGAGTAAGTTGCATAAAGACAAAATTTCTCTTTTTTTTTGGTTTGATAGACAATTTTTTGTGGAATATTCTGTGGAATATATTCTTCACTCTGTATTTATTAATTCAGTCAATTATTTTTATCAATTTTTTAATTTATCGTTCAGTACTTGTTGCTATGAACTGTTCTCTAAATCTGAACTATAGTGAAAATTAGAAAAAAAATTTAAATTAGTACCAATTTAATAAGTATTACTGATTATAAAATATTAAATTTAAAATATTGCTAATTTTTTTTTAGCAAAATTGTACGTTTTCTAAGTGGTAAACATCTTTGCCTCAAATTAGTACCAATTTCTACTAATTTTAGGCAAAATTATTACTATTTGTCATTTGAATCAGTGAAAATTAGTAGAGACTTTAAATTAGTCCCAAGGTTTGCTAATTTTTTAGCAGAAATTTTTAGTTTATGTTCTCTGAGTACTAAATATTTTTGATTAAAATTAGAACAAATTTCTACTAATTCTTTGGCAAATTTTTTACTATTTCTCATTGAAATCAGTGAAAATTAATATACAAAATTTAAATTAGTACCAAGGTTTGCTAATTTTTAGAAAAAATCTTACTTTTTCTAAACAGTAAATTTTTCGGTTCTTATTATTTGTAAATATTAATTACTTCTGAATCAAATCTGTACCAATGTTTATACTAATTTTTAGAAAAATTTATCTGTTTCTAAATAGTAAATATTTTTTATCTCAAATTAATATTTAAATTTCTACTAATTCTCAGTAAAATTTTGACTATGTTTCATATGAATCGGTAAAAATTAGTAATTTTGATTAATTCTAATAATTTCTACAAATTTTTAGCAAAATTTTACTATATCTCAAAATAAAATTAATTTCTTTAGTTTAGTTCTTTGTAAATAGTAAATATTTCTAATTCAGATCTAATTCTTCACTAATTCGTAACAAAATTAAAATTTATTAGAAATTTTACTATTTCCGTATGGTAAATATTATTGGTTCCAATTAGTACCACGTTTTTTTACTAATTTTTAGCAAAATTTTACTATTTCCATACAGCAAATTTAGTAATTCTTTAACAAAATTTTACATCTTCTAAATAAAAAATATTTTTAATTGAAAATAGTACCAATTTTTTAATTTATTCTTAAGCAAAATTTTACTATTTCTAAACAGTAAATTTCCTATTTCTTCAGAAAAAAATTTTCTCTTTCTAAATAGTAAATATTTTTGACTGAAAATAGTACTAATTTTATAATTTATTCTTTAGCAAAATTTTACTATTTCTAAACAGTAAATTTACTATTTCTGTAGAAAAAAATTTACTTTTTCTAAATAGTAAATATTTTTGACTGAAAATAGTACTAATTTTATAATTTATTCTTTAGCAAAATTTTACTATTTCTAAACAGTAAATTTCCTCTTTCTTCAGAAAAAAATTTACTTTTTTGAATAGTAAATATTTTTGACTGAAAATAGTACCAATTTTATTACTAATTAGCAAAATTTTACAGTTTCTAAACAATAAATTTTTAGTAATTTTTCAATAAAATTGGAGTTAAAAAAATTTTTAATTGTAAAATAAAAAAGTAAAATTCTACTGAAAATTGGTGAGAATATTTTTTTAGAATTGAATTAGTTTACAATTTTTCACTAATACAGATTTTAGAGAAATTTATTTAAATATTAGTGAAATATTAAATGAATAAATAAATAAAATAATTAAATAAGTGAATTTAGTAGAAATTTATGCTAATGTCAATCAGTGCAATTAGTAATATTTAATAATTTAAATTAGTACAAAATTGATATTTTTTACTAATTTGCACTAATTTAAATTATCACAATTACTAGTTTACACGAATTTAAATTAGCACAATTGCTAAAAAACGGCAATTAATCGGTAAAATTACTAATTTACACACTGATTTAGATTTTTAAAAACGAATAGGAAAAAATTAAAAATCGACAAAATTTTTTCGATAATTATTAGGGAAATTTGAAGAATAATTAAAGTGACTAAGATGTGAATCCTTTACAGAAAAGATCTTTATCTTCTTTGTTGAAGACAAGAGAGATTGAAGATTCTATTATTGAGATTTTCATCGTGTCTGCGTTGATAGATTTTCCTTCTGCTACCAATGTCCTTTTTCTGTATGGAATTCCTGCTATAAAAAGAGATTCTATCTTTCATTAAAGACTATATACAATCTTTCGTTCTAAACGATCATAATTCTATACTAAATTCTCATCTTGTTCTTGAAGGCTTATCTTCTCTGCAGAATATAAAATATTTATCATTCACCGTTAAATATATATAAAACATTTTTTATTTCGTACAATTTTTTACTTTTTCTTTATTTTTTACTATTTTTATTTCCTACTTGTAGTATTTTTTACTTTTCTCCAGCTTTTTCAATTTTTTTTATTTTGTTCCTTTCGTACTATTTTTTGCTTTTTACTATTTTTTTTACTATTTTTTTACTTTTTTCTATTTTTTTACTTTTTACTATTTTTTACTTTTCTCTACTTTTGACTATTTTTATTTTCGACTTTTCGCCCTTTCTGTTACTTTTCCGTAAGTTGTACTATTTCTTTTTCGTACTTTTCATACTATTTTTGGCATTTTGTTTACTTTTTACTATTTTCTTACTTCAAACTATTTTTTACTTTTCTTTAGCTATACTATTTTTTTTATTTCATTCTTTTCGTACTATTTTTTACTTATTCTACTTTTAACTTTTTTTATTTTCGGTTAAAAAATTTTTTTTTGGGAATAAAACGACAAATTGATTGGCTTAGCACAGTTATTGATGTTTCGGACGTCTTTAAAGAGGATTTAGATATAAATACGTCTTTTGGCGATCGGATGCCGCAGCGGAAATTAGTTGGCGGGCTTTTTAACGGCCGGAAAAGCAGGACTCGTGATTCGATTAATTTATCTCATCAACATTCTCCACCTGTGTTTGATTGCTCACCAGTATAAATTTCTCCGAATGTAACATATGGGATTTGACTCGCACTAATTATAATCCACATAAAAGCCACTTGACTTTTCGTTTATATGATCAAACTCTCTTTATTTTTATTTTCCTCCTTTTTTTCTCAATGAATTATAAAACAGTGATTTGAAATTTTCAAATTCACTTCCATTTTACGAAGTATTTTTTCCTTATTTTAATTATTGATTGATGAATTTATTTATTTATTTCAATCACAGAATTAAAGATAAATAACGAAAAATGTAAAATTAATAAATTAATGAATAAAAAATAAAAGAAAAAACGAAAATAGAAATGAAAATTTAAAAAAATTATATTAAAATTTAAAAAAGTAGAAAATAAAAAATAAACGAAGAGTCGACAAATTAAAAATTAACAAACAAAAAAACAAATGGAAATTTTGTCCGAACTGAATAATTGAAAATCGTAAGAAATAGAATTGAATTTTCTTTAAGAATTTATAAAATCGTGAGCGCAATAATTAACAAATAAAAAATAGTTCTATAAGTATTTTTAATTTCCAAACAGAAAAAATAGTAAATTTCCAAAGTCGATAACTGCTATAAATCGATAAATAATCGACAAAAATGTAACCTACAAAATCACGATTGTAATTATACATTATGTCGTTAAAGCTATTTATGTCTCTTGATTTCACACAGTAGTAGCAAAAAGCAAAAAAAAAAAAAAATTAGTGTATAAACGTCAAGAAATTGAATTTAATCATTTCATTCTCTCAATCTTCAATTATATGACTAATTTACAAAACAAAAAAAAAAAAATACACTCCAGCACTGTTTTATTACGTGAAAAATGAAAAAACCCGTTTTTTTATTAATAATTAAAATGTTCTAACTTGAATTATTTGAACAAAAAAAAAGGAAGATTTTTTTCTTCAGAAAATATCGCATAAATCATCAATTATTGTTCGTTTTGAAAAGTGCAAGGAATCCCCGAGTGTCACAATTGATTTCCTCATATTTATTGTATGTATATATATAAACGCATAAATGTAGTGGGCGAAAAAGCGCTTTTTCTCTGGCAACGTGATTTTTCCCTCCCAGACTCGCACGAGATCTCTCATACAAACTATATATATGATGTCATTGTCGTGCAACTCGAGGAACGTTTCTCTTAGTCATCCTTTTAGTAACGGTTCAATATTTCGATTACATTTTTCAACACAATATTCATTCATCTCGTTCTCAATGAAAAATTGTCCTTGTAAATATTTATCAACTATATATAGTACAACTATATATATATTCATGTATATAGTTGTATACCCTTACCAACTATATCAGTTTATTTATATATTTCTTATTTTCTATATTTTACGAAACATTTAATTTGAACTTTAGTTAAAATTAGAATTACCAGCATTTATCAAATAAATATTTACTTGTATTAAATAATTTTTATTTCAATAAAATAAATTTTTTTCAGTGTTTTTTATTCATTAAAACATTATTTATCAGAATTAGCATTAATTATCAATTAAATATTTACTATTACTACTTAAATATTTTATTTAAGTTAAACCAATTTATTTTAATGTAATTAAAACAGAATAAAATTTGATATAAATAATGTTAATATTATTAATATCGAATTTTATTGTTACTTTTGATTAGGTACTATTTTAACATAAATATAATAATCATAAATAATAATAATATAATTATTAATAAAAAAATAATGTTAATAATATCTATTATTAACGTGATATTAACAATATTAATAATAATTGTAAAAACTGGAAAATACAATAATTATAAATAATAATATAACTATTAATAAAAAATTAATGTTAATAATATTTTTTATCATAGGTAGTGATATTAACAATATTAATAATAATAGTAAAAACTGTAAAAAGTGCCAAGAAAAAGTAAAAATAATGAAAACACTGGAGTAAATATTTAATTTTGGAAATTTATTTTACACTTATCCCAAATCCGATTTTCATTAACTCTGTTCTTTCAATCTCTCCC